TCGCTGCCTTTTCCAAGCAGAAAATTCCTGTTGTTTTCCGCCTTCAGCAGGTCAGTACTGAACCAACCCATGATGAATAAGAGGAACTGTACGCAGGGAAATCTAGTTAATTATATAGGACCTTGATGTTTCGTGCTGAGAGTCACATGCCTCAGCATTTTATGGTCACATACCAGAAAATTCAAAAATTTGTGTATTTTTTTCCCACAAAAATTATGATGCTGAATATTTGTATAAATTTGTTTTACATTTAAATGGTAAAGAAATGGAAGCATTTTCACTTGGTCTCAGACTGATGCTTGGTCAGGCCTTTAGATTTTAATACATTGACTTGGAATATTTAAAATTATTTTCCATTATAATGGTGTATATATTTAAAGAAAAACTCAGCTTTCTTTGGTTCCGTCTTGTTTTTCATTTGCTCTATCAGGGTTATGATCACAGCTACTATTTCATCTTCTCCTTCATCATCGACCACATCAAGCACCATGCCAAATATCTCAATGCCTGAAACTGTGCATCATGTCATGAGTATGGCAACCAGCCATTGTGCCTTTCAGATCATAACAACACCTAACACCTACAGGATCTACACAGCTGGAAATGACATCACAGCCATGTCCTGACTGGTTCACAATATCCCTCGAATTGCAGTGCCACTCTCTGTATTTTCTTATGCAGAACGAATAGGGTGATGTTTAAAGTGATAGTTCACCCCAAAATGAAAATTCTGTCATTAATTACTAACCCTCATGTCGTTCCAAACCCGTAAGACCTTCGTTCATCTTCGGAACACAAATTAAGATATTTTTGATGAAATGTGTGAGCTCTCAGACCATGCATATACAGCAACGCAACTGTAATGTTCCCAGGTCCAGAAACGTAGTAAGGCCATCGGTAAAACAGTCCATGTGACATCAGTGGCTCAACGTCAGTTTTGCGAAGCAGCGGGAATACTTTTTGTGCGCAAAGAAAACAAAAATAGCATAATTTATTCAACAATTCTTCTTCCCCCGAGTTACGTCTTCCGCCATTTTAAGAGTATCGCAACACATACGCACGCTTTCCCCTAAGCATAAACAACACTGATTACACAGATTACGTTCATGCGCGCGCTTTCTCCCCCGAACGTAAACAACGCGGATTACGTCGATTACGCTCTTTGGTACTCTCCAAAATGGCGGAATATGTAACTCGGGGGAGAAGAATTGTTAAATACATTTTTATTTTTGTTTTCTTTGCGCTCAAAAAGTATTCTCGCTGCTTCGCAAAACTGAAGTTGAGCCACTGATGTCACATGGACTGTTTTACCGATGGCCTTACTACGTTTCTGGACCTGGGAACATTACAGTTGTGTTGCTGTCTATGCATGGTCTGAGAGCTCACACATTTCCTCCAAAAATATCTTAATTTGTGTTCCGAAGATGAACGAAGGTCTTAC